TATTATTATAAAAAAAATGAAATATATAAAAAAGAATATTAATATTATTTTTATTAGTTAAAAAGTTAAAAAAACTTAACTTTATTATTTTAATATTTAAAATTAATTACCGTTTTTTATATATAAAAATATAAAAATTTAAGTTAAATACCATGGATATTTTATATATAATTCCTAAAATAATTTAAGTTTTTAAAAAAATACTTTTTTTAATATTTGAAATATTTATAAAATAACAAATATTTTCCTTTTACTTTTTTTATATCCTTTAAATATTTATATTTAAAATAATTATTTATAATAAATGGTTTAAAAATGAATATATTTATTCCTTATATATTAATTTTAAATCTTTTATATAATAAAAATATTATAACTTTTTTATTAAAAAAGGAAATATATTTAATAAAAAGGTTATAAAGGTAATTATAATAGTTTATGCCTTTTATTAAATATAATTTTACTTTGCCGTTTTATATTTATAATAAAAACAATTATAAAATTTATTGTTTAAATATAAAAGTTTAAAAATTCTTTAAAACTTATATCCTTTAATTAATTATAAAGTATATAAGCTAATTAAATATACTTAAAAATTTAAAAATTAAAAGTTAAATTAATATATTTTAATAGCTTTAATATTAATTTATATCTTAATATTTTAAATTAAACAATTATGAAAATAATATTTTTTATACTTTTTTTAAATGGCTTTTATATAATAAACTTATTTAATTTATATTATTTTAATAAGCGATAAGCACTAGGTTTTTTTAACAGCTGCGAAGCAGTTATAAACTTAACTTATATTAATTGTAATTTAATCTTACGTAACTTAGCTTTACTTTTAATATTATAACTTATTTTACACTTAATTAAATAATCTTTAATATATTTTAATAAGCTTTTAAATTTAATAATAAAATAGTTTAAACTTATAAGTTATTAATACCACGTGATAATAAGCGGTGTATAAGGCGGTTAAATTTTACCGGTAATAAAAATTAACCTTACGTATAAATAAATAAAGTTATACACACACATTATAATTTTTTTACGTAATAATAATAACATTCGTAACATTTAAGCTTTAAAAACCTTATTAAAAATTATATTTTTACTTATATAAGGGTTATAAATAAAGCTAATATATATAAAAAATTTTATTAACTTATTTTTAATAAACTTATTTAAAATTATATTTTAAAAATTAAAATAAATTTTTTTATTAATATAAGTATTATTAAATATTATTTATTTAAAATTATAACATATTATTTAATTATAAACTATATTCAATGTTTTACTTATATAAGAATTAATAAAGTTATTATATATAATAATTAAAAAATTATATTATTTATTATATTTATTACTTTCCTTTAAAATATTTTAAATTTAATTTAATATTTAAAGCTAATATTTAAAATTTATTATGCCATATTATTTTAAAGTTTAAAATATTAAAAAGTTTAATTAAAAAAATAATTTAATTTTTAAATTATAATAAAAAAATAATTTTAAAATAATATTAATTAATATAATAAAAAACTTTAAAATAACTTATAACTTAAGCTTATTATTTACCCCTTTATAATAAATAAATTTTATTATTATTATTAAAATATTTAAGCTAATTTATAAATATTAAATAATTATTATTAATATATTTTTATAATAAAATGCCTTTAAATGCCTTTACTTATTTATTTCCTTAAATAATAATTATTTAAATAGTTTTAAGTTTTAATTAAATAGCTTTTTATTTATATTATTTTTATAACTTTAAATTTAAATACTTTACTAAAAAATTTATTATTAAACCTTAACATTTTATTATTTATAATCTTAATAAATTATATATAATGTTTTTTTAAAAACGCTTATAAATTATAAGTAATATTAAATATTAAAAAGATTAAAAAATCTTTAAAATTAAATATAAACTTATTATTAATATTTAACAGTTATAAATTAAAAAGCTTAATTAATAATCTTTTAATTTACTTATTAACTTTTTATATATTATTTTTATTAATATAATAACTTATAATATTATTATATAACTATTTATATTAATTAAAATACCTTATTAAAGATTTTTTAACATTAATATTATTAATTTTATAAATATAATAAAAAAGTTTATTATAACTACTTAATTTACTTTTATAAATATTTATTTTTAATTTTTAAATTATATAAATTTATAATATTTAATTAAAAATTAATTATATTTTCATTTTTATAATTTATTTTATTTACCTTTTCCACTTTTAAAAGATGTTAATAATGTTTATTTTAATCTTATTAGTATAATTTAATTAAATAAATTATATTTTTTAAACTATTTATAAAAGCTAATTTATTACTTAATTATAAATAAACCTAATTATTTTAAAATTTAATTTTAATTCTCCTTTTATATAAAATATTAAATAAAATTTAAATTACAATTTAAATTACTTACTTATATTAAAAACATAGTTAAAGCCATATTAAACTTAAGTAATTCCTTTTTAAAATAAGTAAAAACGATTTTAAATAACCTAATATAAAAAGGTTATTAGTTTTAATTTAACTAAACATATTAAAATTTAAAAACGAAATTTAAATTTATAAAATTAACTTTAACGTAAAGAAAAATAAATAATTAATAAATTTATATTATTACTTTAAAAAATAATTTACATAAAATAAGATTTTTAAAAATTTAATAAATAAGAAATTAAAAAAATTAAAAATAAGTAAACTTTTATTTTTTATATAATAAGCTATTATTATTAATTATAATTTTTTTAAAAAAACTTATATATATTTATAAATAACTTTAAAACTATATTATATAAGTAATTAAAATATAAAAATTAAATAAAAAAGTAAATAATAATTAAAACTTTATATTATATAAAACTTTTAATTTAACTTTAAAATATAATTATTATAATAACTTTTATAATAAGTTTAATTTAATTAATTATTTAATTTATATATATATACGTATATAATATAAAAAGGTAATATAATTAAAAAACGTTATATAATATAAAGTTTTATTTATTATTTACCTTTTTAATTAATTTAAATGTTTAAAAATATATATTAAAATAATACTTATATTATTAAAATCGCTTTAATTAGCCTTTTTAAAAATATAAATTTAAATTATTTATATAATATATTTGTAAAATTATTTATAATTATATATAATTTTATAAAAAAATAAAAAATTTTATATAATTAATAATAATTATTTATTACCTTTTAAATATAATAATATAAAATATTATTAAAATATATTATTATTAAAATAATAATTTTTTTAATTTAATATAATAACTTTTATAAAACTCGGGTATTACTTAACTAAGTCTTTAAGTCGTAAAACTTAGCCGTGTATTAGCTTAAAAAAACCTTAACATGTAAATAAACTTAAACTTTTTTCACTTTATTTTAATGCTTAATTTTTTAATTCGATTAATAAGTTATACCCTTTAAGTTATAACCGTTAATTCGTGCCATTATATTTATAAAGCATTTATAACTTAATAATTAAATTAAGGTTTAAGTTATATTTATTTAATTTAAAGTTATTTAATTAAAAATATATATACTTTTTTAAAATATTTATTTTAAATAACTTTATAATTTAATAATTATATATTAAATAGCCTTAAAAATAATTTTAAAATAAAATATATTAAATATAAAACTTTTTATTTTTTTTATATTTATTAAAGAATAACATTAAATAGGCTATATAGTATTGGAAAGTTTGCCACGCTATATATTTACCGCCTTTTAAAATAGCTTATTATTAAAACGATTTTTTACTTCGTACTTAAATAACTTTGTAAGTATTAATTATAACGTTATAAGATTTTAATAAAAAAATAAATATTTTAATTACGTATATTTTAATTTAAGTTATATCGCGGTGTAATATTTATAACTATAACTATTTAAGGTTAAAGTAAAAAAGGCTTAAAATAAGCTTACGTAATACCTTTAATAATTATCCTTTAACGATAAAGCTTTTACAAAGCTTTTAAAGCTTTTAAAACTTTTATATAAAACTTTTTATAATAGCTTTAAATATTAAAAAGAAAGTATATAATATTTTTAAAAAACCGTATAACTTTAACCGTATATAACTTTAGCTATAAATATCGTAATAAGGTATAACTAAAATTAAAATATATATATTTAAAATATTTATTTTTTTATTTAAATTTTATAACATTATAACTAATACTTATAAAGTTATTTAAGTTTAAAGTTAAAACTTTACTTTTAAATTTTACTTATAGCTTAGCGTAAAAATAAATACCATATAACTCGTTTAATGTTACTTTTATTAAACTTAATTTAAACATATAATAATTATTAAAAAAAAATTCCTTAATTATAAATATTAATTTAAATTTAATAAAATATTTTATTTATATCGCTTTATAATTTAATAATTATATATTAAATAACTTTTAAAAAAAATCTTTAAATAAAATAAATATTATATAAAATTTCTTCTTTTTTTATTAATTAATTAAAGTTAATTTAAATATATTATAAATATTAAAAATATAATAAAATTAAACATTAAATCGTTTAAATATTATAAATAATATTATTAAAAGTTTTAATAAAAACTTTATTAAAAGTTATTATATAATATTAAATTATATTTAAATTAATTATTAATTTTTTTATTTTTTTAATATAATTAATAATTAATATTTATTTAATTAAATAAATATAAATTTAATATATATTTAATAAAAAAGTTAATAAAAAAGTTAATAATTAAAAAATGTTAATTTAAACTAAGTTATTTTAAACTATATATTTAAAAATATTTATAAAAATTATAATCCCTTTTAATTAGCTTAAAAATTTTATGGCAAAGTAGGTATAAAGATTTTTAAACTCGTGGTCTAAGCTTTATTGAGATAATTTTCACTATGTATATATAAGTTCTAAAAATCTAAAATTTCACATCAGCGGGGATAGCTCAGTTGGGAGAGCGTCAGACTGAAGATAACTTCAATCATGCAATCTGAAGGTCGTGCGTTCGATCCGCACTCACCGCATTGATTTTTATTCCATTTTTGTTGCTTTATCCCTCCTGCTAAAAGTGCGATCAGTTGCCTTATCTTTTAATGCGCGGCAATAGTCAGCTCGGAGAGCTTTGTAAGTAGTAGCGGTCTTGGTCGCCATGGTACCAATCATATAAACGTTCGATCACCAACTCTTAACTAAGACTGAAGATAAATTTACAATCTCCACCACATATTCGATTTTATATGCTTGTTTTATATATTCCATTTTACTCACATACTTATTTATATCCTCATAGTGCACATTGCTTACTGTTTATCCTCATCGCTACAATATCCCTTACAACTTTCCTACTCTTAATATATCACTAATGTAGCTGTGTCTATACTCTGGTTGGCAATGCTTGATATCCTCGTTTCCGATTCTTAAATGACCTATAGGGACAACTTGGCAGATTCTGTTAATAGATTTCGCTGATTGGTTTGCTGTGATAGAGTAAACGTACCACTGGCGATTCCGACCATGGAGTCAAATTGCTTGAAGATCCAGATCTCATCCTATTGCTGCTCGCGAACGAAGTAAAATTTATAGTGAGGGTTGAAGTATAGAAGGGTATCTTCCCCTTTATATATAGGGTATATGAGGTTAGCTTTGACTTTGTTTTCCTTGTTGACATTGCGTACATCGCATAGCGCTAATGGTCTCCAAACACTGTAGCGGTGAGTCTCCATCGCCCTTGACTTGCAGTAAACTTACTTTAGTATCTGATACCGACCATTGCAAATAGGATCAACTTCCAGAGGCCAGCTATTCTGAATTCTCTTTAAGGCACCGTCGGCTGGGGCATCTAGTTTTAGGCTGAGTTGTATTCCAGCACATCATTTAATACGGGAGAGTGGTGGAATAATTTACCAATATGTATCCCCGGTATCGGTCTACTTCGGCCTTGCCCCTCCTATTATAATATGTCAGCAAGACTACGAGTATCATGGACCAAAAAGATTGAAACGATGATACTTACTATCCCCATGCTGCCTCAATAGGTACTTTAGCAGGAACTTCTTTTCCAGGATACCGTACCTACCATATGTTCTTCTCTAGATGAGTACTCTTGACGTTCATTAGAAACACCAAGTGAAGACCGAGAGAAGTTTTGGCTAGATAGCTCTATGGATATGTTTACCTGTTCCTCGTTTGTCGAAACTACAAGACACACCACTAAGAAGTAGATCTTGTACTACAAATAATGATGCTGTAGTCACAATTAGTAAACTACCGTAAGTTACGCGTGAGAGCTATGTGTCTTTCATATTCTAAGTCTAACTGCCCCATATAGAAGCAGAAGAAGCCCTCCATAGCGGCTATTTGCTGCCTCTTCACTGCAAACCCTTTATTAGGACTGACGGCATCACTGACCTATAACTTCGTCTTGAGCTATGATGTGAATGAGTTCGAAACAACGTGAATTGGCTGAGCCGAACAATTTCTGGGAAATATGGTTAAAACCTCTATAGCAAGTCTATTTTCTAACGATAGGCTTGTTGGACTGGATATAAATAAAAGGATCATCTTGAACAGGCTGACTTCGCAGATAAATGCACCAAGTCAAACATGAGCCCTCAGGGAAACTCTATGATATTATCTTAACCTTAACCACGAGAGTGTGATCGCCCCTTTGATAGCGCCAACGAACCAGAGGCTTGGCTGCACAGCGCCTGTGGCCTTGGATATCCATCCACCACATATGGCTCCCAGCAGCGTGAGCACAAAAGCTAAAGCTCTGCGATTGCGCTTCATATTTTTCTTAACCGGCTCCAGGATACGCTCATCGCTCACCAGGTCACACAGTAGACTCGTGATTACCACTGTGGGCACCTCGCTGACACCTAGTCCACGACTGTTCACGATCTGACCTGCGGCTTGGAAGCTAAGTAGCGCTACGGGTGCGAGTTCAGCAAAATCCACATCTGCCGGATCTCTCCGTGAAGGGTATGTACCGTCGACAATGCCGGTCTGTATGATTGTGGCCGCGACAACAACACAGATTGTTTGGACGAGGAAAGAGAGCAGAAGAGTTCTTCGCAGGCGTCCTCCACCGGTGAGTTTATGCAGCCGAGAGAAGGCAAGGCATCCGATAGTAAAACAGCCAATCGAGCAAAGAGAGCGAGCCCATCCGAAAGGCTTGGTATTTTGCCCAGACGTACCGAGCGCAACGAAGACGGTGTTTCCTAGCGAAAAGTTTAGAACAACGTCTACAAACTGGAGTTATATAACAAGAATGTCACGCCCTACCAGTTTGCATAGACACGAAAGTTCCATAAGCTGGAAACCATACATGTTAGCACGGAGCCACTATACGTTATGGGGATATGTTCCCTCCTACCATTGTACAGAGTCCCGTCAGTGAGACCGGTTGCGAAGCAGCAGGCAAGTAGAGGTATAGACCCCAAGCCGGGACTGATTTCCTGAGATAGATGTCTCAGAAAGCCACGATTCGAAGTACCCGTCTGGGGGTGCTCTGGGTTGAGTCTGGCGTCAAGCTCGGCTTTCTCCTCGTCTGGCATGATGAAGTATGTTAATTCGAGGGTAAGGTACAGATACCTATTGATGGTTCGCGGAGGCCTCGCTTGATATCAAAGAATATAAGAGCAATCTGGATAGTGGATATCAAGTGTAGAGGCCAGGTTAAAGTTCGCAAATCGGAGACGAAGGGTTGGTTCAGCAGTCGAGCAGGTCTCAGATGACTGGTATGCCCATCAACCCACGTTCCGTGCGCGAATGGGAAAGGAGAAGCCTTTTTTTTCTTGGAAGTTCTTGGCCGGCCACTAATGCATATGCAAGAAAGCTTCGGATACCTTAAATCCCTCATTCTTGCATGGAGCGTTCAAAGGGGCCTCTAATGTGTGTGGTCTATGATGTTGAAAAGGGCTGCTTAATGTTAAGCAACTCCGGAGCTGGGGTAATACATCTTTTTGCTTTTTTTGCCTTTTTTTTTTCCTATTTTTTCTTTCCTTTTTAAATGAAGTCACTTTTTGCTTTTGCACCGAATACTTAATAGCCCCGATAAACACGATAGTAAAAACAAGGAATTCACGTTTATCTTTTGAAAAGTCTTATAAACGAACCTCACTGTTCAAATAGCACAGTATGGCGTTTACGTGGTTGAGTGTAATCTCGCTACGAGCTTATTCCTACGGCGCCACCAGACACGACATCTAGGTACGCCAATGTAGCTAATGCAAAGGAAACCTTGTCTCGGACCAGCGCCGAGACCCTGAGGATCACAGTCCGACTACGGCGTTTATCTCGGGGCCGCTGGAGACTCGTGCTTGGCGGCAGGAACTCGCTCCTTTACGCCAGCTGAGTCCGACGGCGTTTAGCTCCGGGAGGCAAATCCGATAAGCCAATTAGCCCCTGTCCAATGGGATCCTATCTTTGAAACATGTAATGGACGTATGTGCTCCGCTTTCAGATGACAAGCCGTGGCGGCCAAGCGGGCCAACGTCCTCTGCCATACTACGTGACTGGAATGATAATCGTTATGATTGGGTAACCCGGTGTGGTCCGGTCAAAAGGGTACAACAGTTTAACGATCGACGTGCTGCTCTCTATCGATGCCGCTTTCATTACGCCGGGAGTGTACGGTAGTTGCCATGCATCAACCTCCCGGGAGGCTCGGGGAGGCTTTGTGGCTCAACGCATATTTGACACGATGCGCACAGAAGGCCCGAAGAAGATTATGACTGATCGAGTTTGTTGAGGATTCGTTCGTTCAGACCCTGAAAATGTATGGATCTAACTTGGCGCCAAGGTGACTGCTTATTCCAAGAGTGCTTCAACAACTAAGTTAGATATCCCCAACCCACGTCAAAAACACTATCAGGGCCAAGCAATACTTGCATGACCACCGTGATGGCTTGACTGTAATCTTTGTGAGGTTGCTATGAGGCCTCCCTTGATTCTAACCGGGAAACGCTCATTGTGGAACTGTATCGAGATGCTCAGCCTGCCAAGCGAGCCAAGTCCACTGATAATATTCCTGAAGTATGCAGGCAACTTGTGAGCGACAGAATACCATGCCGCAACATAACAAAATAAGCTTGCGATGTCGCCATAGATATGGACGACATACCTGTATATGAAATGAAGTATGGTGCCGGCCAATAAGAACGACTTCGACGAGCACAGCCCTCACGCAGGCATGGGAGGAAAATAGGAACATGCCGAATATGAACGATCAACAGTCGTCCGATCCTGAAGACGAAGCTATCTCGATCCTCCACGTATCTGCACGTAATAGAGGCCGTCTAATGAGGCCTGTAGCTTGGCAGGTCTTGGATTCCAAAAACTGGTCGACGATACCATGCAGCAAAAGGATCATGTGAGGTTAAAATGATGACATCTTCTACGGCCCGCAGATAGAGGAATAAAGGAGGGGCGGATCACATGCAGTGATGTGGTAGTCAAGCAAATGTGAGCCTCCTATTATTGTTTACCACGGGTCTAGGCTACCTATTTGGTTACTAGGCAAGATAGCTGAGGCTGCTTCTCCCGGCTCGGCCCGCTGCAAACTGCTTTGCATATGTGCTGAACTGATATAAGATCATCCACTTAGGAATGGCAGAGACCTGGGGTGGTCTAACTCCTTTCAACCTTGGCCAACTGTCATCATATTGGGGATTTCCCTTTTCGGTTACCTGGCCGGTGAGCTTATATATACCTCTTATCATACTTGAGACGCTCGGAACAAGACGGAGCTGGAAAGCCACAAAGCGTAGATCATTGAGAACCCTCCCCTGCGATCTTCTGACAGATCACCAGATAGATAAGAATTAAGCCACAATTTAATTACACATTCCTATATTGAGTTACGCATATTCTGAGCTGCGAGGAAGCTACACGCTACACTGTCTGGTATCTAATTGGCTGAGTCGGCCTATAACATTCTGCAAGGAGTATGTACCAATGTTACGTTAGATTCTGATTGGTCACACCTTAGTAACCCTTATACTGTGCAGTCTAGTTGTAGTTT